AAAACTACTTAGGCCGAGACATGAAAACTTTAGTAGGCCATGAAATAAAAATACGAGCTAACTTTCGCAAACACACCGAGTGTTTTACTACTGGATGGGTATACTTTCAGAAAATGTTAACAAAGTCCGGGCTGATTTTGGCTGTCCTACAGTGTAATTTGAGTTTAACTTTTTAAACAGGTGGCCAATCTCTTCAAGCACCTTAAAAATATTGTAATTGTTGCATAGTAATTTAAGCACACCACTTCTTTAACTAAATTCGATTTTTAAAACAGGTGACACCCCTCTTAAATGTAATTAAAAAATAAAGTTTATTCAAAATCATTTCGATTGATACCTATATTGGGGTAATTTATTTAACTTATTAAATAATTTGATTTTGATTTTCTTACATACATTCATATAGCACAAACCTAAAACCCTTTCGTTTGACACCTACCTCCTTTTTGAAAGTCGAACGAACGATACAGATTTTATGACATGGTGTTAAATATTTAACGCAAACATCTCCGAACTCGATTAAGAAGTTTCACTTCAAAAAATTTTTGGAAGATTCGAAAAAATTCGAATTAAATCGAATTTGCACCACCAAATTTCGATACGAATAATCGAATGTTTGGGCAATGTTCGAAAGTCGGAAAAAATCGAATTTCAACCCCCCACTACCCATCCCTAAGTCAAACCACTTCACCACCAATCTAGTCGTCCCTAGAGAGAAGATTATATCAAGGATCTTCAAAAGAGGTACAAGTGAAAAATCCCACAACGTGATCCTCAGCCAGGCGACCTCGTCGTGATCAAAGAAGATTCGCTCCCGCCCACCGAGTGGCGATCGGGACGAATCGAAAACGTTCGCTACGGCGATGCTAACCACGTATTTGTCGTGGAAGTCCGTACGCAAAATGGAGTTATCAAGCGGCCACTTGTCAAACTGTGCTTCTTTTCCACGGAGAATTTTCCGCGCAAAGCACAATAAATAATTATATACATATTTTCCTTCTATATATTAAGGGTATTAACTCCCCGATTAAATAAAGTTCCCAAGTACTTCTCGTTTCTCTGTCTCTGCTTCCATTTCCAGATCGGAGACATCATGGCAGCATGGAAGGCATGCCCCCTGGCCCCAACGGCAGTATTTCGGCTCTGCCACAAATAACACGCGCTCAGGACGTGCACGGCCTTCAAGGCCATGAAGCCACTGCAGAGATTGGCAGTATCCCGGGCGCAAGGGTATTGTGTCAACTGCCTTGCGCTCACCCACATAACCGGTGAATGCGACTTGCCGGGTAGTTGCAAGCACTGCGGGTTGGCGCATCGCACTTTGCTGCATTCGGCAGCCAACAACCATGCGCGCACGGGCCAACGTAAGAAGCAGCCTAAGCAGCGCGCATCTGCAGGTAGGCCAGTGAAAGCGCCCACCAACAAGAGAACCCCATGGCAGAAGAAGGCGCAGAACCCGTGCAACCAGGCGCCGCAACCACCGCGAAGGAGGGCCGCTCGACGGATGATCGCGCGAACCCCCCGAGGCCTGCAAACGGCCAACTACCGGGGCCGCATTACTACCCGCGTCCTGGGAAACACCAACTCCGCGCCGAAAGAGCTGCAGAAGACCGTGCGCGCAGCCTTTGGCCGTAGCTGTGTGGAGTCGAATGATTACCGAGCGCGCACGGCCGCCTACCATTGTCGTGCCAAGGTAGCACGAAAATCAGTTCAGCTATAAACGCCGGTATACGCGCACGCGTCCTATGCAAAGTAGTATTTTTGCTAGTAGTAAAAGTTAATGTGAATTGCAAAGCTCCTTAACAAATAAACCGGCTACATATATACATATTGGCAATACATTTTAAAGTGTTATGACAATCAGCCTATTTTGTACAATACAAAAAAAATACACCAATACACAGAGAAAAACTAACTGCGTGAATAAATAAACCTGTCCTTCCTAACCGGAAAAAGTTGTGTGCGAATAAAGGTGAGTGCGAAAAGCATTGAAATTATTCAATGGAATTTTCCGTTATATAGGAGGTAGACGTGGTTATTGTCCGATTTTGCCCATTTTCAATATCATCCGTCCTACGCTAAAAAGAAGTACACATACCAATTTTCGTAAAGATATCTCAATTTGTACTCGAATTAACGTGTGTACAGATAGACAGACGGACGGACGGATGGACAGACAGACAGTCCCCGCTTAATTGATTTCTTTTTTCATTCTGATCACTTACCTATAGATTTGTCTATATCTATCTCGATTAGTTTTGCCTGTTACAAACAACCGTTATGTGAACAAAGTTATAATACCCTTGTGCACAATTGCGCACGGGTATAAAAATTGGGGCTTTTATTCCTGTAACCTCGGCGTGGTAGGCCCTAGATCCTGCAAGTGTGGAAATTTGCAGGTTTATAACCCTGTTTTTAAATTTTTTTCAAGAAGCTTTCTACAGAAAATACCAAGTAGAATGGGAGAAAATAAAAAAAATGCGTTGAGTTGTCAGCACGTTTAAACCTTTTAAACCGTAAAAAAAAAACCGAAATACGTGTTTTCTCGGAGTTTTTATAATTTTTGGACACTTAATTTTTTTTCTCACGTTTAAATAGTCAAGCAACAATTTCGGCCACTTTTTCAGTTTTCTGGCAACTGTGCACTGTATTATTAAGCGACCAATCGAAATTTGTTGGGCAACGCTCACTAATACGCTTTAACAAGGTGGACAATTTTGCACTTTTGTAGGGTCAGAGTGCAACATGTTGGGAAAACATCAAGTAACCCAGAGGAAATGCTAAGAAAATAACAGGAATTTGACAGCCCCAGCACAGAGCAGAATAAATGCTACACTATTGCGAGTAAGTCACTGCTATCCCTAAATTAGCGCGCCAAGCGCCAAGGATGGCTGAGTTCCAAGTTGGTGTATTGCAAAGCATCAGCCTCTTTTATTTCTAAACTATAACTGATGGAAATGTCCAATATGCGAACCCATGTTCAAATGCCGAATCGGAACTCACCGAACAGTCAAAAATTCTCATGCCCATACAATTTGTATGAAGCATCCCACAATAACGCGGCGCTAGCGCCGAGCAAATAGAATTTTGATTTTTGGCAGTGCGTTACGTGTGGAAGTTGGATGCAGAAGACGGAAAGAAAGAGAAAGGACAAAGAAGTGAGAGATGAAATGAGAATAAAAACGAGAGGAAATGAGAAAACGTGAAAAATGAATGCCAAAGAAACAATTTTTGTGGATTTTATATATTTGGTTTTAAAAATATCAGCAGTGCAATTAAATTGTATGTTTTTGTATGAAAACTCGATTTTGGATTAAACAAAATGAAAATTATACCAGCTGATGGTCAACGCGCGCAATAAGTTGGGAGTTGGCCATTATTTCGCTTCGCGCTGGTACTAAAACGATCTATGTGTAGGGCTGCCAGATATCTCTGTTGCCAAACCGGGACACTTAAGGGTGGGAAAGGCCTCTCGCTCCCTTCCCTTTCGTTTCGATAAAAATTACGTACGAAAGGATGTAGTAAAATTTTATTTTGACAAACAAAAACAAAAACATAAAAACATGAGATCATGAGATCATTACAACGTACACCAGCACAACAAAACAATTTATCACAACTAAAGCACAGAGAATTTTTCCCAATGCATGTACCTTTATTGTTCTTTATACAAATACAGTTTATACTAAATACATCAGAAAACATAAAAATAAAATTTCTAAACTTTGTGCAAAACTCGGGAAAATGGAATAAATTTGCATACAAATTCGCAACTTTCTATTCAGACTTTTTTATAAAAATTTTGAAAATGAAGTTTNGGCCAAGGTAAAAATAAACACAAAAACAAAGTTGAGTAAAGATAAAGGCAAACATGAAGACCAAGGTAAATTTAAACACTTTACTTATATGTATAAGTGCAAAGGTGAAGGGGAATATGTATATGAAGAATATGATAAACATAAAAATAAAAACAAAGATAAATATAAAGAAAAAGATGCGGATGAGGATACCGATAAAAGTATAGATGAAGATAGAGGAAGAAAGATTAAAATAAAGGTAGTTGTAGAGAAAAGGATGTAGATAAAGGCACAGAGACTCAATCTCGGAACTATTTCGGGATTTTAGGGATTCTCGGGACTTATCGATATAATCGATATTTTGTTGGTTTTTCTTAGTGTGTGATTTCGTTTTTGACTTGGATATGCTCTTAACCATACCACGTATTCTACGTTTAAATATAGCGGCTGTATCTCCGATACAGCCTGCAGACCAAGACGAAGGCGCTGGACTGTTCCTTTTTTTGTATGTAGAAGACCCTGTCCGCAAAAAATAAATAATTGCAAAAATCAACGAAATTTTCTGGTAACTTCAGACTTGCACTTTACTAATTGGCTCAAAAGCTACATTTTCAAAATTTTTCTNTCAGACTTGCACTTTACTAATTGGCTCAAAAGCTACATTTCCAAAATTTTTCTAAAAGATCTGATTCGAAATTGTAATCTGACGAAATAGTCTCCGAGCCAATAATTTTGTACGGCACGGTACTTATAAGTAATCTAGGTTTCAGGAAAGAAAAAAATTAAATACAAGGTAACATTAAAATATCAGTCATTTGTTTCGTTGCTGTGAACTTGTTTCACAACTTCTGCCTTTTGCTTAATATAATTGTAAAACTCTGTGCTTGTCATTTTCACGTATTTAGGTACATACTTATATTAATCATCAACTATTGCTTGTGCGAAACGTGCTAAATTAAAAAAAAATAGCATATGAAAGAGCACCAACCCAACTCGTAATAAATTTAAGTATACAAATTTTAGGATTTGGTATAGAAATATTCAAATCAAATACCTACGCCAATATTAAAATGAAGGGCTTTGCACTATGTATTTACTTACATGTGTATACAAAAATTTAAAAACATGTTACTTTTTTTGTATACATACATATATCAAAAATAACAAATTTGAATCTCGGCAACATTTAAGATGGAAATATACCTGCAATGCATTCGGCCACATGCAAATTTCCGCGGAGTTATCAACAGTAAGATTGATACTTGAAGCGTTTTCTTCAATTTCTTCTGTCATATTTGTGTCGGTTTGCGGCCTTATCCTTGGTGTTTCCGTGACTGGTATAGCCTGGCTGTACTCGTTGTAGATATACCTAGCAGTTGATATCTTCGGGCTTGAATACCCAAATGTAGATCCACGCAGTAGATGCTTAAATTTCGCTTGTACATGCGTTGCAGATTTATCGAGTGGGCACAGTTCATCGATGCTGAAGCCATCTGAATAAAAATTAAAGGAATATAGTGATTTTACACTTTGGAAAAAGTAATCGGCATAGCTTCAAAGAAAATATTGCCAAAATGTTAATGATAACACAGACTAACTGTTGCGTGCCAATGAAAACGTTTTCCTTTTTTTTTTATTTTAAACATTGTATTTCACTATTAACATAAATTTGTATTAAAACACTAATGCTAATCCTTCCGTGTGCAACTCTGAAAACTGAACGAAGCGTGGATCGTCTTTTACGGCACGAATTGAATTTACAGATATTAAAACCTAAAATAAACATACTAACGATTTTTGGTAAATCATAAGTGTTGCAATTTTGATGGTAATAAAACGAGCGGCGATATTTTATTGTAATATCTTACTCCAACATCTTCAGGATTGGAGTTAATCTGTTTTTTTAAATCAATTCCGAATCATCCAAGTCATCGAGCTCACATCCGTGAGCCCGAAAAAGTTTAAGTTGCGGGCCGCACGGCGGCCCCGAGTTGCCCTTCCTAAAATAAAAGACAATAA